GCCTGTAACAATCACGTATTGCTTCCAAAACGCGTACAAAACCATTCGCCTTTTACACATAGTCTGCGATACATTCACCGTGCGAAAATGGTTGGCACAGTTTATGATTTCTTGGTTGTGGCGAAGACTAAGGAGCAAAGCTTTTGTCTTGATTTTCACCACCAACTATCTTATCAGCTGTGAAGAATGAGGAATGTGTGCACTAGGAAGCACGTGGGTACAAGTAGGAAAACCTAGAAGTGTTGTACCCCATATTGTCTACCCCACTACAACCTACACAGACTATAGCATAAGAGTTTGACACACCCCATAGGCAAAGTGGGGGAGAACAAGAGGTCACAAGACCAGTCAAGCAAAGCAAAGCAAGCTCAGGGTGGATCACAACGTCACCACACAGTCCGAGCACAAGAGCAAGGCCACAAGGCCAGTTCACATGCAAGATCATATATATAGGGAAACAAGCAAGTGCAGGTATAGAAAGATCACCGTACAAGCAAGGTCAAGAAGTGAGCAAGTGAGGCCAAGTAGGCACAAGACCTAGCATCGTACAGAAGCGCTGATGATCACCAGCAGTGTTGGCCTCAAAGGCCACGTAAGCAAGGCGCAGCTGACCACGCTGCTGCAGCTCACGAGCAAGGAAGTAGCGAAGAGCAATGTGCTTCGTTCTGTGCTCTAGTCTGTGCTCCCGACACAAGGCCAGCATGGCCTTGTTGTCTACGTACAGAATTGGAGGAGAACGAGGCGGCTCTCCTAGGCCAGTCAGCAGGTAGGTGAGCCAGCGTAGCTTCTGTGCAGCCATGGCCCCCGCGTAGATCTCAGCCTCACAGCTCGAGCCGAGAACAGAAGACGAGCGGGTAGACTGCCACGAAACAGAGCCGGAGCGAAGGGTGAGGTGTAACCCTCTGACGACCGCTGCGTAGCCTGGTCGTCAGCCCAAGAAGCGTCTGCGTGACCTGTGAGGACCACTCGACGTCGCCCTCCAAGCACTAGCCCCATGCCCGACGTACTGCACAAGTAGCGCAACACCCTCTTCGCTGCAGCCATGTGCTCTGGTCGGTGTCTCCCAGGAGCAACATAGCGTGCCAAGATGCTAAGAGGGTATGCAAGGTCAGGTCGAGTGCAGGTCATCAGGTACATGAGGCAGCCAACAAGCTCTGGGTACGGGCCACTCGGCTCTACGGACTCATCTGAAGGCAGAGCTGAGAGCGAGTGGCGAGTAGACAGAGGAGTGGCCTGAGGCAAGGAGTACGTGAAGTCGAAGCGCTGAAGGACCTGCTGCACCATTTGTGACTGAGTTAGGGTAATGGTGCGCTGTGCTCTGTCCCGGGTGATCTGCAAGCCAAGGTAGCTGCGCAGTTCACCCAGGTCTGTGCACGTGTGTCTCTTCTGCAGCTCGAACTTCACGTGGGCTAGTCCAGCAGTGTCAGCAGTGGCAAAGACCAAGTCGTTGACGTACACGAGGATGTAGAATGGCGGCAAAGAGGTGTCGGTGCGCAGAAACAGCGACAGGTCTGCTGTAGAAGGAGCAAACCCAAGAGCCGCAAGTGTAGTCCTCAGTGTGTCGTGCCACTCACGGGGCGCCTGGCGGAGACCGTAGACTGGCCGCTGGAGGCTCCACTGGGTACCAGGAGGAAAAGACCCAGTGAAGCCGAGGTGGGCGGCGTAGCCAGATCTCCTCGTGCAGGCTGCCCTGCAAGAAAGCAGTGCTGAAGTCAAGAGAGTGCAGCTCGTAGTCACGGTGAGCGGCTATGTGCAGCAGTACCCGAAGAGTGGTCATCTTCGGGGTGGGAGAGAAGGTCTGAAAGTAGTCAACTCCCTGCCGCTGACTGAAGCCACGAGCCACGTAGGGCGCCTTGAAGACACGCGGAGAACCCGGCGGCCGCTTCACCCTGAAAATCCACATGCCACTGACGATGTTCGCCCCAGGAAGGGGAACCTCGTCGACGTAGGTGCCTGTGGATTTCCAGGAAGCCATCTCTGCGTCCATGGCTGACTGCCACTGAGAGGAGTAGGGACCCTCGATCGCCTCAGCGTACGATCGAGGAGTCGGGATGTCTGGTGCATCCAGGTCTCCCTCAGGGGCAATCAGCGTGGACACGAGATGAGGCAAAGCAGCAGCAAAACACTAGAACTCCTCCTGCCTGTCCTCAAGGACGTCCGTGCTAAGAGCACACTCACCCCCGACGGACGGAGGACAGACAGACTCAGACTCAGCAACAAGACTACCAGCGTAGTCTAGACGACAGCGAGCAGCAAAATCGACAAGCTCAGCAACTAGGGCAGACGCAGCAGTGCACTCAAAGGAAGGGTCAGTGACAACAGTAGCCAGGAGACGCGTGGCAGTAGGACTGGCAGCACGAAGAGAGTCAGACTCCGGGTCAGCAAGAACAAGAAGAGAGGACTCTGGAGGAGATGGCAACGGGACAAGCAGAGGAGCAGTTGAAGGACGCAGTGCCATCTGGTGTGTGCCTGGGACCGCAAGATGACGCGGACGCGCAGTACGACCACTAGTGCAAGCAGCACGAACAGGCGACGCAGGACGAGACGCAGGCTCACGACGCTCAGCAAGACCCCCAGTAGGACCAGCGTAGGGAGAAGGAGCAGGCCGGGGGGAGGCGGGCTGTAACTGTGGCTGCGACTGGACAGGCGGTGGACACTCTAAGGGAGGAGCAGGTCCAGTAGAAGGCGGAAGACTAAGAACCTGTTGAAGGAGCGGAACGAAGTACGGCCGCGGCCGCGCAGCGCCTCTAGAACCAGCAGGGACAGCACCAGTACCCCCAGCGGCAGCACCAGCGCCAGCAGCACCTCCAGCTCCAACAGCGCCAACTCTAGCACCCTTAGAATCACCACCGCCAGCAGCACCACCAGCGCCATAACCCCCAGCAGCTCCAGCTCTAGCAGCTGCAGCAGCTCCAGCAGCACCAACTCCAGTAGGAGCGTCACCTCTAGCAGTGCGTCCAGCAGTGCGTCCAGCAGGACCAACTCCAGCAGCCCGAGCAGCACCCCCAGTCCCGGCAGCTCCAGTACCGTCTGTACGAGCACCTCCAGGACCAGCAGTAGCAGTCGCAGCTGCAGCTCCAGCAGCACGGCTCCAGCGCCGGGCAAACCATTCGCGCAGCTCCTGCGGAGAGAGTAGCTCCCGCCTCGACGAAGCACCGCGAGAGGCCACACGAGCAGACCCAGCACCCCCAGGCTCCGCACCCCCAGGCTCAGCACCCCCAGGCTCAGCACCCCCTGACCTAGCACCCCCAGGCTCAGCACCCCCAGGCTCCGCACCCCTGGACTCAGCACCCCCAGGCTCCGCACCCCCAGGCTCAGCACCTCCAGACCCGGCACCCGCAGGCTCAGCACCTCTAGCAGCACCAGAGTCAACAGCTACCTCGACAAGCTCCACTGCGTCTACCTGGGACACACCTGGCGGGGTAGGACCCTGAGGGGGGAGGGGGTCAACCGGGGGAGGACCTCGCGCAAGATAGAGCGGCGGCGGGGGGAGGGGCGCAGTGCGGTAGGGGAAGAGACGGTAGTAAGGCACCGACTCGTCAAAGGTGACGTCCTGGGAGGACAGAACACGGCGCGAGGTGGGGTGGTAAAACTGCCACCTAGGCGCGTCAGGGGGGAAGCCAAGGAAGACGCAGGGAACAGCACGGGGGGACAGCTTGTCCGCAGACAAGTCGCGGACAAACGTCCGAGATCCCCAGACCCGAAACGCAGACGCATCGCCAACCTTCCCCGTCCACCGCAAGGTGGGGGAGGTCTCTGGCAAGGAGACCCGGGGCTGAAGGTTGAGCTGATGCGCTACGTACTGAACCGCAAACGGCCACAGAAAATGGGGGGCAGCCGCATGGATCATGGACGTACGAGCGATGTCCATGACCATGCTGTCAACGGGAGTTGTGTGTTGGCCCCGTCCTCGCTTGGGCGGAGCCGACATCGTGGTCGGGTGTTAGGGGAGCAGCCGATCTGCAGCAGTGGGCGAGCTGGTTGACAAGGAGGTCGACCTGCACGGGGACCACTGCACAGGCGTCGACTTCAGGGTGGCGCCAACTTCGGGGAGGTCGACTTAGGAGTCGACCTGCGGAGGACGTCAACTTGGTGACGTCAACTTGGGGAAGCCGACTTCGGTGGTCGGCTGATGGACTGTTGGTCGACCTGCGGGTGGTCGACTGGACCTGGTGGTCGACGAAGGAGGAGCCGACGTCGACCTCGACTCAGGACGCCGAGCAGTTGGGCGTCGATTAGCGGGGCGTCAACTTCGTGACGCCGACTTCGGGTGGCCGACGTGGGTGGTTGGCCGACAACTGCGCTGGCCGACTTAGTGCTGGTCGACGTAGAGCTGGTCGACCAGAAGGGACGTCGACATGGAGGAGGTCAACCGAGGGGCATGGTCGTCCTGGTGAGGTCGACATGGAGGTGGTCGTCAACTTGGGAGGTCGACGGGCACGTACGGGAGCTGCTGGTCGACGTGGTTGCCCGGTCGACCAGGTTACCTGGGTGACAAAGTGCTGCGGAGGAGTGCGACGGTCGCCCAGGCGAAGTTGGCGAGGCCGACCTCGGTGGTGGTATCCCGAGGTCGTCGTGGCGGATCAGAGGCAGTCGTCAGCTCGAGGTTGACGTGGTGTGTGCGCTGTGCAGGTGACGAGACTCTGCACGGCAAATCATCTGCGCGCACCTGCGAAGCGGGTGCACTGCTGTCCTGCATGAGCAATGCTGGTACGCCATCAACCTACGACGTTGGCACGCCGTCGACCTTGCCTTGCTGGAGTGCGATCGACCAAGTCGTGCTGGAACGCGGTCGACCAAGCTGCGCTGGCAGTTGGCCGACCTGAATGCTAGCTCTGATGTAGTCTTGCATTGCCAACTTCATTGGATTATTGATGTCATGTTTTCCTAGTGAAACTCTTGCCAATTCTCCCGGTGAACTAGCAAGAAGCGTAAACACAAGGAAATGACTAAGTGAACGAACGCAGAGATCACACGAGCACACGTGCCTAGCCCGTAGTCTAGCTCCCGTTGCAACAGTTATCTCCGCACATGCCAATGCGGCGCTCAGCAATCCCATTTTGCTGTGGAGAGGCCGGAAGCGTGAAGGTCTGGCGGATGCCCTGTGCACGACAGAAGGCTCCCAGACGGGCAGAGGAAAACTCCCCGCCTCCGTCAGAGTGCAGACGCAGAACAGGAAAGTCTGAGCCGAAACTCTCTCTGAGTTGGAGACGAGCTGCGCGGATCCAGTCAATCAGCACCTCACTGACGTCACCCTTGCTGCGTAAGGGGAACACCGTGGTGTAACACGAGTAGACGTCAACCACCAACAGGAAGTAACGCTCGTGACCCTGGCCACGGATGCGGGCGGGGCCCCACACGTCCATGTGAAGAGTCTGCAGCGTAGCCTCTGTCGGAGGAAACTCGGAGGAGTGAGGGGCGGCGCGCTGCCGCCCCTCGACGCAAGGAACGCAGGTAGGGGTAGGCCCCGGAGGTAGGGGAGGAAGGGACCGGGGGAGACCAGAGACAAGGACACGAGAGGCCATGCCTCGGAGACGAGGCAGGGAGGGGTGACCAGGGCGGTGGTGCCAAAGGAGAGTCTCGTGAGACAGGAGACGACACGAGCAGGGAGCAGACTCAGGACCAGACCTGGACGTTGCAGGAAACACCTGACTCGACGCAGCTACCTGACCAGACGCAGCAGCCGAAGGAGACTCAGTAGTCAGTGTGTACAGGCTCGACCCCGGCCGACGGGTAAACGTGGCCAAATGTCGGCCCGTCCGAGCACACGTACAGTGGGTCACCCGCTGACTCGCAGGAGTGAACTGGTCAACCCCCCTATCCTGTAGATCAGCTCCACTCACCAAGTTCTTAGAGAACGAGGGGAGGTAGAGACCTGATAGGGTGCCAGAGGGGGCTGCCGGACACGGTAAGACAATGGAGAAGTGGGCAAGGACAGGACCCCCAGAGGGGTCCGCCAGGGAGACCGCAACCGGCCGACTAAGCGGCGTAAGCATGGTGCGGTTTCGAAAGAAGGAGCGGGAAGCACCCGAGTCAAGGGTGAAGGTGTGTAAGGCCTAAGCCGACGTGGTACCTGAGAGAGCAGACTCACCAGCTCCTGGGGCAGCAGACGCACTAGGACCTAGAGCAGCAGCCTCACCAGCAGCACCTAGAGCAGCAGCCTCAATGCCCGGGTCAGGCGGAACACATAGGTAACAGTCACCCTCATCACTAGTAGACACAGCATACATGGCAGCAAGAATAGCATCATAATCAAGATCAAAGATAGCAATCCCCGCCCTAGACAGCTCTCCCCAGCGAGGGATCTCAGTGGCGTTAGGGAACTGGTGACGCCACGCGTCCGTCAGGCAGTCGAAGCAGCGCTGGGTGGAGTGCGGGCCCCCACACTGCTCACTAGCGCAATCGCCGGTACGGAGGACGTAGGTACAAGGACCAGTACCCCCACCTCGCTGACGCCCAGCGTACCACTCACGAAGCTGCTCAGGGGACGGGGTCTCACGAGCGCACTGCTGCTGCTGGCGCGGACCACCACCGGAACCACTTCTCTGCGCAGAGCCGCTACCAGCTCCACCGCTGCCGCCGCCGCCTCCGCCCCCTCCGCTACCTCCGCCGCCTCCTCCGCCTCCACTGCTGCCACTGACACCTCCACCCCCGCCACCACTCCCACCACCACCCCCACCCCCTCCACTGCCTCCACCACCACCTCCATCGCCCCCGCTAGCCCCTCCAGTGCCCTTGCCCCCCTTGCCCTTGCCTGTGCGGCGTCTCCCGCTAGGGGCAGACGCAGCGCCGACCGACTCGAAACCAACGAGGTCGGCCGCAGCAACACAAGCAACGGAGGGCAAGAGGGGGGAGGGGGAACACCCCTCAAAGACGGGGGTGCGAGGGTCACCACGAGAGGCTCCTACAGTGACTATGCTCTTCTCTGCTGCTAGGAGGCGCTCCTCGAGGAGGTCAACGGTGAGTGTGGTGGGGCAAACTGAGAGGAAGTGGTCCCTGACTAAGCGAAGGGAGTCAGGGAGCCGGGTGACTATGTAGTAGAGGGTGATGTACATATGGGGGGGGGTTCTTCGCACAAAACTCAGCAGGAAGCGCAGCGCGGTAGCGAGTGTCACTAGTGTGAAGGTGCGTAATGAGGTCAGCGTCTGTGGGAAAGGCAGCAAGGTCAGGGAAGAGGTACGGCAGCATGAGGCGGCTAAGAGCAGCAGTGGCAGGGGAAGAGTAGCGTGCAACTACAGCCTCGTACAAGGTCTTAGCACTCTTGTACTGACTAAAGTGCGCACGCTCAGTGGTCGGTAAGTGGCGACGCACAGCAAGACGGGCAGCAGCATCGCGTGTGGCCCACTGTGAGCAAACAGTGCTGTCAGCAGTAGTCGGCGGGGCAGGAGAGACACGAGAGGTGAGATCGAACAGAGAGAGTCCGTCTGCCCTATCGCACTGGAGGAACAGCTGGAGGTTATCGACCCAGACCTCAAAGTCAACAGCACGACCCTCAGCATCAAAGGTAAGGACACTGGGGGTAGCCATGACAGCAGTGGTCTAGCAGGGAGTGATCTCACCAGTCCGAGTAAGTAGGGCCGGGGCGCGCCGGTAGAAACGGTAGCGGCTCAACGGCAGGGCGGCTCGGCGGCTCCGCTGCTGGGCAGCTCGGCGGCTCGGTTGCTGGGCGGCTCGGCAGCTCGGCTGTTGGGCGGCTCGGCTGCTGGGCGGCTTGGCGGCTCGACGGCTTGGTAGCTCGGCTGCTCAGCTGCTGGGCGGCTCAGCGGTGAAGGGGCCGGTAGAGGCGGCGAACGGGGCCGCGAAGGGCGGCGACTGGGCCGGTAGAGGCGGCGACGGGGCCGCGAAGGGCGGTGACGGGGCCGCTAGGGGCAGCGACGGGGCCGCGAAGGGCGGCGACGGGGCCGCTAGAGGCGGCGACGGGGCCGCGAAGAGCGGCGACGGGGCCGCTAGGGGCGGCGACGGGGCCGCGAAGGGCGGCGACGTGGCCGCGAGGGGCGGCGACGGGGCCGATAGGGGCGGCGACGCGGCCGCTAGGGGCGGCGACGGGGCCGTGAAGGGGCCGCAAGGGGCCTAGAGAGGCGGCGACGGGGCCGATAGGGGCGGCGACGGGGTCATGAAGGGGCCGCGAGGGGCCTTGAGGGGCGGCGACGGGGCCTAGAGGGGCATCGACGGGGCCGCGAAGGGGCCGCGAGGGGCCTAGAGGGGCGCCGACGGGACCGCGAGGGGCCTAGAGGGGCGGCGTCGGGGCCGTGAAGGGGCCGGGAGGGGCCTAGGGGGGGGCGGCGACGGGGCCGTAAGGGGTGGCGACGGGGCCGCTAATGGTGGCGCGAGGGGCCTCTAGGAGGGCGCGACGTGAGGGCGGCCTACGGGGCGCGCCTCGGGCAGGAAGAAAAGATCGAGTTCAGTGGTGGGCCCTGAGAAGCGTTCCCACGAGGGAACCTGCTCTATACCATGTGAAGAATGAGGAATGTGTGCACTAGAAAGCAGGTGGGTACAAGTAGGAAAACTTAGAAGTGTTGTACCCCATATTGTCTACCCCACTACAGCCTACACAGACTATAGCATAAGAGTTTGACATCAGCATGAACAAGTCTGATGGAAATCCTTAAAAGAGCACTCTGTTATTTATTGCCATTGATTTTGTTTAAAGATATCAAGAGTAAAAACATGACACTGTTGTTTTCTGTCGAACAAAGAACCCTACGAGCATGTCCGAAATGAACTTCGACATCCTATGAGAAGAGTCACTCTACACCGGGAGCTAGATAATGTGAGCTAGATTATGCGGTACGAGCAATCGTAGCGTTTCCTCATGTTCTCTCTACTTGCTCATTCGCGATAAAAGTTGACAAGAGTTTCACTAATAGTAGAAGGATTATACAATGCTAGCAAGTATAATTGCGTACAGGAGAAGCAGGTTTGCCTAGCATTTAGGCAAGTCGACTGCCAGCACTGCAAAGTCGTGGACCTGCCAATGTAGCAAGTCGATGGTCCGCGATGCAGCTCGAGGGACTTGCCAACGTTGCACTCGAGCGGCTTGCCAATGTGTAGCTGAGTGGTCTGCCAACGTTGCAATCACGAGTGATTGTGTGCGCACGTGCGCGCACCTACGTCTCAGGTGCTTGTAGGCAGCTGCGCACGACGTGAACCAAGTCGGCCACATGCTGACGATTGCGACTGACGAGCCACGTCGACCACATGATGCCACGTTGCTTGACTTCGCCGCTCTAACCTCGACGATGTTCACGCACCTCCGCAGAACTTAATCGAGCAGGTAACTCGGTCAACCGGGTAATGTCTTCGGCGCCCAGCGGGTCAACGACCTCCTTCGCTAACCACCGCCTAAGTCGGTGCCCACCCTGGTCGACGAACCCCTTCGTCGACCACCCAGGTCAGAAACCACCAAGGCGGCGCCGACTTGGCCGGTAGAAGCACGCGAACTGATATAAGTGCTCATCCACCGCCCATGTTGACGCCACCCCCCAACTTTGCTCGGCGACCCGGCAGGTCGACGAACTGTTTCGTCGACCACCTCAGTCGAAGTCAGCTGCCGACCTCCTTCGTCGATGGCATTACTGTCAAAATGCTAACATAGATGGTAGTTGAGTTTTAAGTAGGGCCTAGGCTTAGTAGCCTAGGCCAAGAGGAAGTCGAGAGAGTTATGAAGGAGAAGTGATGTGTTCACTATACGCTCAAGGGTACATATAGCAAACAAAGCTAGCAAGGTGCACCACCAACAATGTAACACTACACTAACTATTGCTACAAGCAGTTTATATAAGAAATGTATTTCAACACACCCCCTAAACTGCTTGCAGCAGGAAGCCAATGCAGAGACACCCCCTGAAGGGGTACACCAAGCGCAGCAGAAGGAGAGAGCAAGTGAGGAGGAGGAGGCGGGACTGTGAGAGGAGTGGAGATAGGAGGCGACGGGTGGAGCCGCAGACACACGGGCAACAGGAGAGGCGCGCACAGTGGCTACCGGAGCAAGGGCTCCGAACTACAGGAGTAACTGGCTCCGCGGCTAAGACGAGCGGCAGAAGCAACGGACCCACGGGCGACTGGCGCAGCGACGGGCTCGCTGGGCTACCGGAGCAAGGGCCCCGGACTACTGGCGCTGCTGACGACACGACGGCTGCCTCCGCTCGACCTCCCCCACCTGTCCCACACTCATCACCCCACACCCGCCACCCCCATACCCATCACCCCCACACCCGCCACCCCCATACCCACCCCCCCCACGGCTGCACCGGGTCCAGGAGCGGCTGATGCAGTGGCCGCTGCTCCAGGGGCGGCTGCTCTAGAGGCGGCTGCTCCAGGGGCCAGGGGTGGTTCCTGCAGTGGCGGCTGCTCCAGTGGCCAGGGGCGGCTGCTGCAGGGGCGGCTGCTCCAGGGGCCAGGGGCGGCTGCAGGTGCGGCTGCTCCAGGGGCCAAGGGCGGGTGCTGCAGGGGCGGCTGCTCCAGGGGCCAGGGGCGGCTGCTGCAGGGGCGGCTGCTCCAGGGGCGGCTGCTGCAGGGGTAGCTGTTGCAGGGGCGGCTGCTGCAGTGGCGGCTGCTCCAGGGGTGGCTGCTGTAGTGGCGGCTGCTCCAGGGGCGGCTGCAGTTGAAAGGCAGGCCCGCGCGCTGCTGCAAAGCAGGCACGGGCGCAGGGGAGGCAGAGGCGGCGGCCAGGGGGGGGGGGGGCGCCGCGACGAGCAGGTGGCGGGGCCACGAAGGGCGGCGACGGGGCCGAGAAGGGCGGCGACGGGGCCGAGAAGGGCGGCGACGGGGCCGCTAGGGGCGACAACGGGGCCGCAAAGGGCGGCGACGGGGCCGCTAGGGGCGGCAACGGGGCCGCTAGTGGCGGCGACGGGGCCGAGAAGGGGCCTCGAGGGGCCGAGAAGGGGCGGCGACGGGGCCGCAAAGGGGCCGCGAGGGGCCGAGAAGGGCGGCGACGAGGCCGTTAGGGGCGGCGATGGGGCCGCGAAGGGGCCGCGAAGGGGCCGCGAGGGTACGGGCGGGCAGAACAGGCCCGCGCGCAGACGTGGGGCAGGCGCACAGGCGGCGTTAGAGCAGGCCGTGCGCGGGACAAAAATCGCCACGCGCCCGAGGCGCGCAACCGGAAGGAAAGTAGCGGAAGCGTGAGGCGGGCCCTCAAGCCAGGACGTAACAAATTCTGATACCATGTCAAAATGCTAACATAGATGGTAGTTGAGTTTTAAGTAGGGCCTAGGCTTAGTAGCCTAGGCCAAGAGGAAGTCGAGAGAGTTGTGAAGGAGAAGTGATGTGTTCACTATACGCTCAAGGGTACATATAGCAAACAAAGCTAGCAAGGTGCACCACCAACAATGTAACACTACACTAACTATTGCTACAAGCAGTTTATATAAGAAATGTATTTCAACAATTACAATGGTCCCATGCAGGTCGATCCACTTCGTCCATCTGCTCGCCTAAGACTGTGTGGCCCACTGCAGATGGTCGGCTGCACCTCCGGCACACCCGACCACGAAATCGGCTTCACCCAAGTGAGGGCGAGGCCAACTCCGGTCAATACCCTTGACAAAACTTCAAAGTTTCGACCGTCAGGATTGACAATTAATTTTAGGGGGTTTGGCGATTAGGATTGACTAGCATCCCTCAATACGTTGTCGAAGGACAGTGACATTCGCTTGTGACAAACCCTAATAATAATAATAATGATATATTTTCATAATTAGTATGCCACTTTAGTGCGCTTGCTGTCAGAACATTATAGCTCATGCATATTGTGTAGGCTATAGTGGGGTAGCCCATAAGGGGTACAACCCAATTAGGGTTAGTACTTGTACCCAATTCATTCATAGTTCATTCTCGTTTCTTCTCATGGTATCGAGCAGGTTCCCTAACGGGAACGATTCCTAGGGCCCACCACTACGAACCTTTTTTTTTTCTGCCCGGAGCGCGCTCCGCTTAGGCCTGAGTCGCACCTCGTGTGCCCTGTCTACCGTCGCGCCCTCCCTAGGCCTCCTTTGGCCCCGTCGCGTCGCCCCTAGCGGCCTCCCTCGAGCCGCCCTTACGCGGCCCGTTGCCACCCTTACTCGGCCCATCGCCTCCCTTGCGCGGCCCGTCGCCGCCCTTCGCGGCTTCGCGTGCCGCCCTTACGGACCCGCCACCTACCCGCGGCCCCGCTACCTACCTGCGGCCTCGCCGCCTACCTGCTGGCCCCGCCACATCCCTGCGGCCCCGCCACCCTTACCTGCAGCCCCGCCACCCTTACCTGCGGCCCCACCACCCTTACCTGTGGCCCCGCCGCTCTTACCTGCGGCCCCGCTACCCTTACCTGCGGCCCCGCCACCCTTACCTGCGGCCCCGCCACCCTTACCTGCGGCCCCGCCGCTCTTACCTACGGCCCCGCCGCTCTTACCTGCGGCCCCGCCGCTCCTACCTGCGGCCCCGTCGCCCCTACCTGCGGCCCCGCCGCCCTTACCTGCGGCCCCGTCGCCTGCTGCAGCGCCGCCCGCCACCCGAGCTGCCCGAGCCGCCATACCCAGCCGAGCAGCCGACCG